CTCCTGGACCAAGTATTGAGAGAAATTTGCTTTCATGGAGGACTTTTTGATAGAACTCACCCACATTTGCGTTAGACTGAGAGGAAGACCATGAAAACCTCCCATGATTAGCCTTCTGACAAGGGGACTCTAACCCATGATCCATCTACCACTGAGGATATTTCACGTCAGCACTGTGGTCGGTGCAAGCCGGATGCGGAATTCGTATGTACTGGGATTCAAACCTGGTTCACTTCATTGGAAGGAGAACACTCCATCCCTTAAACTATCACAGCTCTATACAGTTATTTAACAAGATTGAATCTAAACTCTAACAATTACTCTAATATTAATAATTACTCTAATATAAACTCAATTATAATTTTTTTTTTTTTGAGGCTTATAATTTTACAACCATTTGCTCTCCCGTCAAGGACATCAAACCGATCGGAAGATATCAATAATATAAAGCAGATTGGCTGGTTGGTGGTGGATTTGCTGCATGGTAAAAAAAATAATCGTGAGCTTGAACTATTTTAAATAAGTAATGAAGTCCTCATGAAAATAATAAAATCCTCTTTTATGTGCATAAGTAAAGTTAAGAAAAGTTAAAGTGCATAGGTTAAGGTGCTTATAAAATTACGAATAGTTAAGGTGCGTAAGTTAAGGGAAAGTAATTTAGCAAATAACTAACTAACTTTTAATAATTCATTTTATTGAATTTTGACGAGCTTATTTGGTCTGCCGTTTAAATATTTTTTACACGGTTTTAACTAGTTAACATTTATCTGCATGTTTCAAAATTGTTTTCTAAAATTAGCTAATGTTAACTGTTAAAAATTTATAGGGATTTCCATTTCAGAATTTTATAATATTTAAGAAAAATATTTGATACAAGAAACTGCTTAAGGAAGAATATTTTGAACAAATATATATTTAATTTTTACATAAACAGAATTTACAGAATTTTTACATAAAATTATTAAATTAGTTGTTAGATTTATTTTTTCTTTAAACCTCAATGACTACTTATTGTTATTGTGAATTTCAGGACTGGCTTTTTAGCAGGTTCATTGCAAGATTTTTCTAAGGTTCGGCGAAGAAAAGCAATATTCCCTCGTTTAGCTGCGTTTTATTTTGTAGAAAATATAAATAAATTGTTCACAAGAGAAATATTCCAAAAAAAAAAACAAACTCAGAACCTTTTCTATCGAAAGCGCAAGACGAAGGTCTAAAATTTGTACAGAGAGACTAGTACTTTGAGTGACAGAGAGAGCAAATTTTAGACCTTTGTCTTGCTTTCTCGACAGAAAAGATTTGGTACTATTTTGATGACTTTCGGGGCTGGTACTCCCTGACGACCTCAGCTTCGGTTGTCATTAATATATTTTTCATTGTTTTTTTTATTTGATTACAATTTACTGTTGTTATAAAAATATATAAAAAAAAATGGAATCTAAATTTATAAAAAAATAGGAGAGATAGTCCTTGCACACTATTGAGCTAATCATTACAAATAAAAATTCTAAATAAATTGTATAAATGTGAAAAATGATTTATAATATTTTTTTTTTAGATTGGACACATACCAACATGAGCGGTAAAGACACCTTTCAACTTGTTGCCCAGTTTTGATATAGCTGAAGGATTGGAACTTCCTTTTTTTGAGCCTCTGTGAAAATAAAAAAATAGATAATATACCATAAAGAAGCCTTTCAAGATTTTTAATAAGTTATGACAATTTGAAATGCATAAATCGAGCAAAAATCTTTAAAGACTATTATTTATCTCGTAATACAGAGAAATATTGATATCACGAATTCAAAGACTTTTCTAACAAAGTTGCAAGCCGAAGCACAGCAAAGCAAATTTTAAACATCATCAAATGATTCACAATTAATTTTAATTTAGTTTTAATTACATTTCTTTTATTTTATTTGTAGTTTCACATTTTACAAATATTGAAGCATTTTTATAAATTAATGAAATTTGTGGCATGTTCATCTTTTCATTATATTTTTAAAATCTGACACAGCTTCCAATGCTTCACACATTATTTTAGATGAGTGAACCAATATAAACTCATCTAAATGCAGAATATAAATATATATTTGACAGAATATATAGTAAATTTATTTGCTCACAATGTTCACTTGCTGAAATTTATAAACATTTACTACATATAAATTTTATAATACTTACCTTATATTTCCGAATCTAAGAAGGTTTTAGAAATTTTTTAAAGCTTAAATGTGGCAGTCAGCCTATAATCGAATTCACTAACCAGGAGGACGTCACCAACAGATATGCTTATTTTTTTATTTAAAAGAATGGTATGAGTAGCAACCAAGTTTTACTCGGGTGCTTTAAGAGGACGTCATACCATGAGAGAAACTTTTCATCACAAATTTTCTTTCACCTCCATTACTACTTCAAAAGAAAGAAAAATTGAGTAGAGGCAAACTTAAAGTAAGCAATTAAGTTTAAATTGCTAAAAAACAATATTGAAATATAAAATTACAAACAAATTATTAGAAGAAAATTTTTCCACTCCGAAATCCTAAGTTATTTTCTCATGATTTATTTTCATTTTGATACTTCAAAAATTTCGTTTCAGTATTTAAAACTTCATGGCTTACTCTAGGTTTGTCTGAACTCATTTTTTCTTTACTTTAAATTAATTATGGAGGTGAAAGAGATTTTGCGACGAAAATTTCCTCCTGTGGTATGGCGTTCTCTCTGACATGGTGATATGAGTGTTTATGACTGTGCTTCATTCTGAGCACCCTTCAATATCGAAATGATGAAACTATTGAAAAAAATCTACCAAAAAAACAACGAGGATAATAATTTTCTGATCACCCGAATTACAGAAAAGACAGGTGTGAGTTGGAACTCGTGCCAGAGGATTTTGACGAAGGGTTTTAAAAGGGACACAGTTCCCATTTAATCTGTTTCTCAATTTCTCACACAGGATCAAAAAAATAAATTAATTAATAAATTGTAATAGCCTGTCGTTTCTCACTTTCTATATATGCCAAACCAAGCCCCATGCAACTTTTTCCTGTTTCTGAGAATGAAGAAAAATCTGCAAGGGTAATATTATAATGAGGTTGAGGCAGTAAAAGCAGCTTGGCAAAGGGCAATGGGTGATATCTCAGCTGAAGAGTTTCAGAGATACATCAAACAGTGAAGGAAAAAAAAAAGACTTGACAAGTGCGTCATATTTAATGGAGAGTACTTTGAAGGTAACTGAAGGAATATTGTAAAAAGTTAATAAAAATTTTTTTAATAAAAAATGCTTTATTATTTTGGGTCTCCTCTATGTACTTTTCATTACAAACATATTTTTTTATACTTCAATTTTTTTATTACGTATGAGTACTTTTCATTATCTTCATAAAGCAAGGCTGCGGTTCCTAACCAGGGGTCTATGTAAAAAAAAAAATTGAGTCCGTTAACGGGCCCTTCACAAAATATCTTTTCATGAAAACGGACCCTTCATTAAATATTTCAATTTAAAAACGGACCCTTTACAAAATAATTTATCCTTTAAGCGGACCCTTCACAAATTTGTTCATCTTCATCATTGTTTTGTTAATCTAATAAACCCTTCCCAGGGGAAAAAAATGAAAGACGGATGTAAACGAATTAAGTTTTGTCTTCGGCAGATGCTTCTGCATTATTCGTCCGAAATGAATATTCTGCGTACAGCAGTATAGTATAAATACCAAATATTTGTATGTTGCATCTCTAATTTAGTAGCAGCAATTGCTGTTTATTTTTGAAAATTTCTTTTTTTTTATTATAATTTTACAATGTTGAGCATAATCTTGTTCTACTTACAATTTAAAAACTCTTTGAAATTTTTTTGTTTTGTTGCAATAACAGGACCCTATTTGCACAAAAGCAGGATCCTGGTTGAAAGAACGTGACTTAACGTTTATTTAATATTTACAAACAAGTAATTTTTTCACAATTTTACAAAAATAGGAACTTTTACAAAATGTCTGGACAGACCCCTGCTAACAATAAATGCTGCAAAGAGATTTTTCAAGTACTTTATTGTACTTCTTAAAATAAGATCGAAATGATAAGGGGTTTTCAACACATTAAATTTAGAATCATAAGACAAAATGTAATGAAAAATAATATCTAACAATAATCGTTTGTACACCAAAATGAGAAATTTTTACAGGTATAGTAATTAGTGGGTTCAATTTTTCCTCTCAAATCTGGCAGTTGGCACAACTAAAAGATGCTATATTGACTAACTTCTGATGTAGAGAATAGAAACAAATGTATTGAGTGTATTAAATTACACTTTTATTAAAATTTACTTACATAGATAAAAAGAAACTTTTCATAGTGATAAAATAAAAAGGAACAGTAAAATATTTCAATACAATTTCAAATTATTTAAATTAACTAATAAAAATGTTTTAAAGACACCAAACAAACTTACTTTCCTCCACCCTTTGCATTTGAATTGCTGTTTCGTTCACCACAAAGCAAGCTAAAATACTATAAAAGGAATAGAAAGTGTTAATATATATATAGTAAGTGCCTTCTTTTAAAGAGTATATGACTATTTGAAAGTACCAACCCTCTCACTCTGCATAAACATTGGACAATAAGTGTTTTCCAACAGACGATAGGCGTGGTCATAGGCTCTGAAGAGAGGTGTAGTTGTCCTTAGTTTTATCACATTTTCTGATCGACCAGAAATAACTGAAAAGATAGAAACAATGCAGTGTTACATTAAGTCTCAATTTTTTAAACTCATTCCCTTATCATGTATATTTTATAAGCTGACCACTGCCCGGCGGTGTGTAAATGTGTTTGAATATGCCTAAAACAAACTCCTCAATTAGATAAAAAAGCTGTGTCAAGGCATTTGCATGCAGGGCTGGTTCGTGCTAATTTTTAAGTGTTAGCAAATATTGAGCACTAAACTAAAACTTAAAAATAAATACCATAAATCTTTTGACGTCTTAATAATAGAGTAAAAATTTGACACATTTAAAAAATTTCAAAATTTTTATAGGATATTAGAAGAAAAAACTTAATATTGTGAAATAATTTTTACTTTGTAAATATTTAAGAAATTTTAAAAATATTTCTATTTAAAGAAAAACAGTAAGAATCTGAAAATGAGATATTTAAAATATAAATATTATTACTAAATTTTAAAATAAGAAAGAAGAAACAACATTTTGAACTTTTTTGAAAAAAAATTAACACATATTTAAGATCATAATTTATTAATAGGATAGGGTAACAAATAAGGAAAATTAAGTCTCATAAATACAGAAGCACATAAAATTTTGAAATCTGAGAAAAATCAACATTTAATCAATGACAATACATATTATTTTTTAAAAATTTGCTTTAACAAGCCACCTAGATAAAATCATAAAATTACAGAATAATTAACTAATGATTTTAAATGAAAATATTTTAAATCTCAAAAAATAAAAGAAAATGCAATAGAACAGAGAAAAAAGGACAAATTTATTAACTAATCGAAGTAATGAATACTAACCCAGGGCCCGTGCTAAGGATTTTATATTATTAGCCAGTAATTTAGGCAAATATCAAAAGTATTTGTCAATTTTTGAAAGTCTTCGCAAAACGGAAATTTTAAGGTAGTTTGCTTCAGGCTTATATTATTTTAACTCAATTCTATTTGGTTACGCAGCACATCGACCGAAAATTACTATAATAAAATAAAAAACACTGATTTGTTTAGAAAAATTCGTTTTGACGTAATTTTGAGGATCGAGTTATACATATATTTTTCTTTCCATTGAAAAAAATCATTCGCCAATACTTTAGTCAAAACATAATTTTATTCGGCAAATGCTTGGCACAGACCTTGCTAATCTAACAAGTTCACATTATTTCAAACTAACTAAAAGGAAAAAAATTTTATGTTTTTGAAATTTTTTTCTCTTTTAAATAAAGCATTATTAAGAAATCATATATTGATAAAATAAAAAAAAAACAATATGATCATAAAATTCCTAAATTGATATTACATTTTCATACGTGAAAATTTATAAAATTATCATTTAACTGAAGGAAAGCAATAAATTTCGTATTAACTTTTAGGATTAAGCAAAAAGTATAACTTGCATTAGAAATTTCTGATATAATCTTAGAGTTTGAAAAATTAATAACAATTTTAGATGGATACTTCTTTTCAAAGCACTGTGCAGCAGGAAATTCAAGGAGTGTCTGTTATATTCTCCCTTCAATATATTAATTGTTAATTTTGCTGACAAATCAGAAACCCCCTTTCGCTTGCTTCCCTTAAAAATTTTGTATTAATTGTTTTTTGTGAATAGATCAATGTTGCACCATTATTTGCAACTTCCCATTTATCATTACAGAAAAACGCTTATTTTTTGTGTATTATTAAATTTTCATATTTATTTCAATATTCAAATTTTTAATTGCATTTTTCTATTTAGTTGTTCCATTATGGAGCCTTAGGACACAGTCAGCTTTTGGTTTAACGACCGACTACAGAAAGGCTCCAGTGCATTATTTGACTATGGCACCCCCTTTATTCGGGGCCCACTACGCAGCCGCTTACTAGGTTTATACCTCGGTTGCCCTTTTGCATGTCTGGGACCAGCTCCCTCATTAAATGTTTCTTTAATGAGAAGTGTAATAGTTTCAAGGGGAAAAGCTAATTTAATAATAATTATAAGCTAATTTAAAATTCATATTTAATTTTTTTTATATGTAAGATAAGTTGGAATTGTTGAGATAAAATATTTATTATTTCGAATAGATTATTCTTAAAAATAAAAAAAAATCTTTATTTTTTAATAATATAAAATTTGTTTGAAAACCATACTTCATAAAAAATTTGCCTTGTATAAATTTATTATAAATTGTAATGGATTTAAATTTTTTGTGTCTTAGTTGTAGTTCATTTACGTCACACTAGAGCTGCACAATGGGCTATTGGTGACAGTCTGGGAAACATCCCTGAGAATGATCCGAAAACATGCCATCAAAATTTTGATCCTCTGCAGAGGGTTTGGCACCCTGCTTCGGTAGCCCAACGATATGCACGTGAAGTTGAGCACTTTTCAGTAGAACAGTTTAACGAGGACCAATACAGCACACCCTCGGTCCCTACGCAGACTGATCCAAGTGGTCACCCATCCGCACACTGACCGCAGCCAGTGATACTTGACTTCTGTGATCTGCTGGGAACGGCGTCTTAACGATGGATGCCTCTTATGGTGAATGCCTGTGTTCCTAGTCACTTTCCCCCTCTTTGCATACCAGTGTGATAAACCATAAATTAAGTACCAAATAAAGGCTTTTAAAATTGAAAAATAATCATGAGAAAAAATATATTTATTCAAAATTGTTTCATTTTTGAACAAAAATGGAACTTACTATCTTTGATTTCTTGCACAATTTCATCATCAAAGTTAATTCTGTCAAGAGCATGGGGTGCAAAGTAGGTGTTATACATTTGTTGAGCCTGCAAGTGAAGGGCTTCCAGCTCTACATGCGTCAAATCTGGATTCAATATTCTTGTATTGAATTCATCTGTGGGAAAATAATTTCAAGTAAATACTCGTTTCGTTTAATATAATTAAAAAAAAACATTTCATTGTCAGGTGAGTATTTTAAATAAATTGAAATTAATCAATCGATTCCTAAAAAATGAAAAAATATTTATTTCTTGTAAGCATTTTAAAATAGAACTAAGCTATGAGATTTTAGGTTGGAAAATAAAATTCCTAGATAAGAAAAAAACACATTAAAAAGTATAAAAAAGGCAAAAAATGCTTTTAAAGCATTTTACAGTTATAATTATTTCTATTACGGAACCATTGTAACAAAATATGATTAAGGTTAAGGCAATGAGCTTCATACATGGCAAATCTATAGCTGATGTTAAAAATAGCGCGGAAATAAAAAGGACATGCTTATACATTTTTGCTTTTGAAAGTCAGTACTTTTATTTGTAATTTTAATTAATTATTTAGGGAAAAAATACAAGTAGGGAAAGTAAAAAGTACATGTTCATACTTTGTTGCTTCTGAAAGTCAGTGCTTCTATTTATATTTTTAATTAATTTTTTATGGGAAATATAAATAAAAAAAACAATTTCTAAACTTAATGTTTTTAATTGTAAACTACTGTAACAGCTAATTTTATTGATAACTTAACTTTTGATTAATTACTACCTAAATAGAATACATTCCAGACGGATTCTATTGAATTTCCTAGATTTTTTTAATTAGTTTTATGAGTTTTATTAATAATTTTTTTATTCAAGACTTGTTATTAGATATAAAATATATTACAAAATACTTAAATGTGCTATGCAAGTTGAAAGAAAGCATATTTTTTTTAAAAAAAAAGTTATAACAAATTATTTTTGAAAAATATCAGATTTTAAGGTACCTGGGACATAAATTCGCTGACTTTTAGTGTATTTTAGTTTAATTCCCTGAAAGTTTCCTTATTTTTCTGGATTGATATACATAGTGCCACTTTAAAAATATTTCAAGACTGAACTTATTTTTTTGATAAAGTAACACTATCTAGAGCTGTTTACTAGAATTTTCAGAAATTTATAGCTCATTGACTTAAAAATGCACCTTTCTATGAGGAGGAGTCATATATTAAATAAATTATCTAGTTTTTTCCTTCATCCCCCACAGCAAAGAAGATAAAAATAACGGCTAACCTTATACAACGCTTTACATTAATCACTGAATAATAAACCACTAATTTGTTCATGAAGCCCTACATATCTCTACTTATTTTTCACTTCTCCATTATCTATTTTTTGTCCTATCTCTATAAAATTAAAAAATAACAATAATAATCTCAATTTAACTTTGGCCAGCATTCCAAACCTTGAGAAAATAAAAACAAGAAAATTTAGATATAACAATAGTACAAATTTTATTGAAGTTGCATCTCATTCTTTCATAACTGAGCTGCATCAATACTTGATCATTTTGCAATAACTATAAAAATTAACAATGTTTACTTAAAATAATAAAAATTAAAATGCAATTTTAATTTTTATTTAACAGAAATTTTTTAAAAACTTTTTTAAGGTAAAACAGAAATTTTAATATTAAAAACAAATGGAAAAAAAAAGTATTAATTTATGAAACTTAATCTACTGATTATTTCAGTCCCTAGTACTGAACAGTGGCATCCACGGATATAATTTCCTGATTTATCTCTAATCTGCTCGACTTCTTGTTCTGTGGCCACCCTGATGAACACTAAAAATATCTCTGAATGTTTTGTACAGATAAATGTCTCTTACCAACACTCAAGTGGAACTGAAGCACATTGAGAGAAGACTCTTCTTTTAAGAACTGCATAAAAACGTAGAGAAGACGCTGATCTTCTAAAATGGTTTGCAAATCAGTATGTAGAATCTGCACAAGAATCAATCACAAAAAATTAATATTTACATTCATTAGAATATATTTATTAGATAATAAATAAAGAGCTGAGTGGACAGATTTGAATCTTATTTTAATAGTCCTTTACCTAAACAAATTTTTTGGCAAAAATAAATTTAGTTAAATATTTCATATATATATATTTTTTAAAAAATAATTTGTAACAGGTTTGTAAATTTGGTAAGCTGATAAATTCTTGGTAAATGACCGAAACTTGTAGTGTCATAGAACAAAGAGCTTCATTTAAAATTTAAGCATTCTAAGATACCTACAATGGACAGGATTTTAATAGAGGGTCAATAACGTATGGTGATAACATTGCCATAAATTTTGCTCATAGCAGATTGAAAAAGAATGAAACTTGCACTGTCATCTTCATCAGGTTTTTCATTTGAGCACTCTAGCCAATCAAAAAACGGTATCAGATTCTATCATCACACACACAAAATCAGGTAAAGAAAAATATAGTAATTGGGATACTTTTACACCTACTAACTTTTCACATGTAATTAATTTTAGAGAAATACAACTTACTGGTCTTTTTACAGAAGAATGGGTCAATATAAAGTTTGACAAAAATTCAACTTTAGGTTCCTTGCTGAGTGGAAGATCAGACATCTGAAAATGTAATTTTTATTAGCTGATGAATTATAAAAATTGCTTTTGCTATTAAAAAACAGTCAAGATACTTACAGGAGTTTTGTCAAAAAAGAGAATTAATAGGTGATTTATCATATCCTATAAAATAAACAAAATGACATGATATGAATAACGAAATAATATCTAAATTTAACAACAAAAAGTATGCATTTGTAAATTTTTTTGTAGCACATAGTAAATACATAACAAATTTCAATTATTTTGAATGCTACAAAATATTACATGGATTAAAGAGAATGCAAGACTGAACTTATTTTAAATATTTAATGCTGTCTGGCATTTTATAATGAAAAAAAAATTTAAATATTAACCAAGTACAACAATAGACCCTTTTTTAACCAATAATAAGTAATAACTATTTAAATAAGCTGTTTGCATAATCATATTTAAATACAAATGACTATTTATAAACATATATTTAAATCATTATACATATTTTTGAAACTGAATCGTTGTAAGTTAAGTTTGTGATACAGCTATAGGTCATTAGGACGCAGGACTTCTAATACTTGTTACAAAAAGTGGGTCCCTATTAAAATATTTCACTCAACAGTGACATCTGTTGACCAAATTTGTAACTAATTTTGAAAGGAGGTTTGAATGCATTATCTTGTCTCCTAAGCAGCAAGTTATATATTTATATCTCCATTTATTGTTTTAAAAATTCTTTTGTTAATTTCATTAAAATTTTAGCTATTTTTAAGATACTTGGTAGCAGTTTCCTTGATTTTTTTAAGAGAAATAAATCATAGACTCTTTTTTCATATATATATATATATATATAAATATATATATTGTTAACATTAAGCTTTAATTTTATTTAAATTTAAAAGAAAATGATTGTCCACTAGATGGAAGTAGTAATTATGTGGATATACACAGATGATTTTGTAACAGAGAGCGTAGGAGTGCGCGTGAAGTAAGCCTGATGCGCAGAACAATGTAACAACTTAATGTCTGTAAATATAGTTCTTGTAAATAAACCATTAATATGTTATAATTATCAAACTCTTACTTCCTTCTCCCCCCAAACAAGCTACTCGACACCTGACATAACGGTATAGTTCCAACAATATTTTCTAGTTTTACATATAAGCTATGGTAATAAATTCTTTCAAACACGATGCAAATTTATTATTGCTTAAGTCACAAATAAATAAATAAAAGCTTCTGCGAATGACAAAGGTTTTTAATAAAACACACTTACCGGATCTCCAATAATATCCATCACGGGAAGAAGAACAATTCCACAAAATATTTCTCTCACCAATGACGTTGCTGCTCTAAAATAAAGAACGGTAAATATGTCAAAAAAAAGTTTAGATAGCATTACAACTCAAGAACTAAATAGTAAAATTCTTTTCATCTCAAAAAGTTCTTAACCAATCCCATTTATTAAGCCTCTTTGTTCCTAACATGTAATTTCATCTGCATCTCAGTGTTTCTCTCTTTCTGTTCTGTGCTTTGACACCCAATAAGACACTTTATTATACTAGCACCATAATGATTATAGCATGCCTGTTTATGGGAAATATTAGACTGTGCTATTTTTATATTGTTTTATTTATTCAGAGCACAAAGTTATCCCTTTCTCTATCTAGATGTTGAAGTTATTAACAAATTAGTGGGAAAATAAGTCAAACTATGTTGCAAGGTGAAAGCAAGAGGATCAAACTGTATAAAAAGGGTCAAAATTCTGAAGGGACCGCTTAGAGATGCTTTTTTCCTTCTTTTTTCGATTTCCTGACCCTTAAGATGCAGCCAAAGAATCAACGTTGCCCTTAAGGCTAAAATGCGGGAAAAAACTCTTGATATAAAATAACTTGAAGACAAAATTGCCTACGATATATATTAATTTCCAAATTGTTTGTTGATATTATATGAGTTAAATTCTGAAGACTTAAAAATATATCAGTAACCAATGGTTGTCATTGTGGTACCTAAGAATGCACAAACAAGGAACCTAACACTCACAGGTCAAAAGTAGCCTCTTGAAATTACCCTTGAACTCCTTTAAGTATAAAAGAAAGAAAGAGTATATTGTGTAGACATCTACAAATCTTCCCTTTTTCAAAATGCACAAGAATCACTATAAAATTATTTAAATGAGTTTTTTAACTTTTATTGCTTATTCAAAGAATCAACACAACATTTACTGGAATACAATGTTCTTCAAGTAATGGAATCAGCTCCAATGGATTCAAAATACAAGAAAAATAGGATTCCTTTTTTTTTGTACTATCAGATATTAAACATCTTATATTTTGTATTAATTACTGACCTACAACATTGATAAGGCTAAAGCCAAAAGGAAATTCAAGATGTTATTGTCTGAGAACCTATTCTCACTCACATATACACTGGCAGTTCCAAGATATACGAAATTTTTATTTCAAAATGCAGAATCTCGGTGCAGAAAGGCAGAAAATGGAACATAAATGCAGAAAGTTTCAGCATAATGTAGAAGAGTTGACAGCTATAATAACAAATTCTGTTTTTCTCAATAACAGTAAAAGTTATCTTCTAAGGGAAAGGAAAATTTTAAATTTTCAACTTTTTCTTCTAGTATCCCTATACATTTGTTATACTTTGCTTTGAATTTTTTGACTACATTTTCTAATTTTGCAAATTCATCCACTAAACTAGTAACTGCATTCAAAAAATAAATAAAAATATTTATTTACATTAAATACTTTTATTTATTCATTGTCATTTTTATCATCTGCACCTAAGTGAAGGAAATTAATGACACATTTATAAGTCAAGCATATTATTCTTCATTTACTATTGCAGTCAGGATTTGTATTGATTTTATGATTTAAAAATTAAGCACTTTTAAGCCCTTTAACCGAATAACAAAAAAAGGGGAATAATATTTCACAAAAAATTACATCATTCTCTTGTATTTTTTATTTTTAATTTTCAAAGAGAAATAATTCATTAAAAAAATATAAAGTGTAATTTTTACATTTTGAAAATATTACTGCTGTGATAATATCGTATAAAAAATATTGATTTTTTAAAAAGGATGTGGAAAAGGCTAAAAACCAATGAATAATTGAAATAACTGCAAATTCAAAATATAAATAAATAAATAAAACAGAACAACCGGATATAAATAATATTGAAGCCAGGGTTTGTATTGATTTTATGATTTAAAAATTAAGCACTTTAACAAAATAACCAAAAAAGAGGAATACTATTTCACAAAAAATTGCATCGCTCTTTCGTATTTTTTACCTTAAATTTTCAAAACAATCAAAAATTTTTAATTTAAAAAAAAAATATTTCTATAAGAGAAATAATTCATTTAAAAAATTAATTCCTCAGATAAATTCACATACTCTATAATTCACATCTAAGTCAAGTGTAATTTTTGCATTTTGAAAATGTTGCTGCTGTAATGATACTGTATTAAAAATGTCGGGGTTTTAAAAAGGATGTGGAAATGGCAAAAAGCTAATCAATAATTGAAATAACTGCTAAAAAAAAAAAAATAACCTGAGTAGAACAACAATGTGGTTTAACAATGAAATCATTGCAAAACAATATCAAAAAATTATTTCATACTAAAATACGAAAAAAAAAATGAAACCATGTAAAAATTTGAAGAAAACATAAAAATAACGGCCAAACAATTATTAATAAATGAGGAGGTATTGTAAAATAATTGTCGTGAACTGGTAACTCAAGTTCAAACTTTTCACGCTGTAATAAACATTGAAATTTGAAACCTGACGACATGGTCAAACAGTGTGAAGTGAGGTGGTCAAATAGTGAAAACTCAAATTCGAAATTTGCATGTCATTATAACATTTTAAGAATATTACAGTCAAAAGGGTCAGATAAAAACACAAACAAAGATGGAATCACGAAGAAATTAAGACCAATAAAAAGTGATTGTTGGATGAATCGTTTCCAAATAATCATAACTGAAATTCGCCATTCGCATGCTGTAATAATATTGTATTAATTAAAAATATCAGAATTTGGAAGACTATGTTGAAATGGATTAAAAAACAATAAGAAATGGGCATAAATTTTTCATGACTTGTCATGAATCAAAGGCGCCAAAAAGTGACAACTCAAATTTGAAACTTGAGTGTCATAATAACACCATATTAAAAATATTGGATTTTGGAGCCAAAAAACTAACATGGCATGGCGTGAAATTTTAAGTAAATCCTTCTTAAAGGGATGTGTTAAAAAGAAACAACTTGAACAAAAAAATGGATATAGCCGGAAAAATGCCGTGGAATCATGATGGAATTAAAAGTGTCCAAAATAGAGTTGTTAACAAATAGTCACTTTTCAAATCTGAAATTGAACTGAATGAAAAAATAAACTTGAAAAATGTCTAAAAAACAATTGAAAATCCAGACCAAATAACAATGAAATCTAGCATGTCCCAAATGATAAGTTAAACTTTAAATATGCATGTCTTAACAACATTATATTGAAAAAAGTAAACAAAAATCAGAATTCTTCCTTTTAAAATCATAAAAAAAAGTAAAATTTCCTTGGTAGAAAAAGCATGGATTAAAATGACCTTTAAGAGTGCTTAATTTTTGAGCTGCAAAATTAAGTACTATTAGGTACTTTTAAGGTATGTACAAACCCAGTTTCGTTTTGATGATAGCCCTCAACATGATAATTTTCTTTTTGCAAAAAATGGTTGAACAAACCTCACTTCAACAAAGATGAAACTTAACATGTATGAGTATGAAATGACAAAATGTTTTAAAATCTTCGTTTTAAAGATGATGAAATTGTTAGATAAATTAACGTAAGAGTGCTTTTATGCCCATATCAAGGGACAAGAAAAAGAATAGAATTTATTATAAAAAAAATCAAAACCTGCAATTCAGATACTTCTGTTGAACCAGAAAGGGCAAAAGATTTGATGTGAGTTCTCTTAGGTAGTCAAGTTCCTCTTGTCTACTTTGCATGGCTGGATGGAGCTTATCTCCGAGAAAGAACAGAACCGTTTCTTCCATCGGCAAATTCGGTTTACGGAACTTTCTCGCCTGAAGATAGCAATCCAAGTGCTTGCACAAAGCATTGGCAGCTTTCTCAGTAATCAGTTGCACCAAGTCAACCTGAAATGCATATCCATCATTACTGAAAAATAACCTATTGCAAGTTTTTTCTTTTAATTTATGGAGTAAAAGAAAATAAAAAAATAAATAAATTTCGAGATAAAAATTGTATTATCTAAAAACAAACAAGTCAAGTGAGCATACAAGTTTATTGAACATAAGTAATTTTGAAATAGCTAATATGAATCAAAAATCACAAAAATGAAGAAGATATTAGAAATAAAGAAATATTTCAAAGAAAATATTATATTTATCAATTATATACAGATCTCTGAAATTTAAAATTTTTTATCCCAAAAATTTCTTTGAAGTTACATTAATTTATATACATAATAATGTAATTAAAAATGATAAAAATAATTTACACAAAGAATACATTTTTATATATAATTCTATACCTGACAGACTCTTCTCAAAAGGCTGGAAAAAACAAATCTCAGAGATGTCCTGATTTCTTGAACAAAATCATCATCTTTACTTAAGTTACTAGATATTTGGCAGAAATGAATTCAATAATTAGCAATTTCATATAATGACAAAAAGTAAATATCATTAAACAAATTAGCGAACTACTTTTGTTGTATATTATATGAACAAAAGGATGTTATATCATATTTTAAAAAATATATATATCACAGTTAAACTGATTAATATTTGATAAAATCATGATCATTGGTGAGTTGAAATTTTAAAAGGTGGTATAGAATTAAATAGCACAATAGCCTAAGATTTTCAGCATTAAATTGAAAATCTGGAGGATAAAATTATCAAAATACTTTTTACAATTCGCATTCAAACTTACGTTGGAAGAAATAAAATGTTAGAAAATAGTTATGACAATTAAAAAAAAACGAATGGAACAATACACAGAAACCAGAGTTAAGGAATCAATGGTTGAGATGCTCGACCTTGACTTATACTAGATAAATTTTTTTTATAAATCCTAGATAAGTATTAATATTATTACTGTCCAAATGTTTATTTCCAAGTATGTTTTTTTTAATGAAAAATTAGAATTACATTTCAAAGTGTAACAAATATAAATTTTAACATATAATATATACATTTTTAAAATATATACATTTACAAAACATCAAAATTGTGTAAAACCATTAAAAGAAAAGAACTAGACATTAGTAGTTCACTTGAAAATAAATATTTCATTCCAAGAAGATTCTTTAACTTATATTCATGACCTAGAAAATTGCTGAAACATTAAATTCATTTACAGTATCTTTCAATGTAACTTTGCAACTTACCTAAATAAATTTAGTAGTCAAAAGATAATGTATAAAAAAATTTATAACTGAATAATTATGTATTACTTGAAGAGAAGTGCATGCAATTTTGTTATAATGAGTATCAAATAATCATAAGCTATGAAAAATTTATTTATTAGCTTATATATTATATAAATAATTATAACCAATAATTATAATTATTAGCTATAAATGCGTATCAGAACTTTTTGAAAAGCACTTTGCAACTAAATAATGCTTCCTTATGGGCTAATCATAAAAATTTCCTAAACTAAAAGTGTCTTGTTGACTTCCCTTTTTACTAAGATTTATTTATCTTTTTAAAATAATGATAGATTCTCTACACACTAATACACCAAAGAATGTTCAAATTCTTGTGATAAATTATAACTTTAACTATTTACAGAACATTTATTAGAGTAATATTTTTATTCACATGATCATAAAGATTTGTTTAAATGATTTTTATAAAATCAAAGACTTTATTTCGTCTTTTTAACCTATAGGATCTAACATATATGAAGGCAAAGTTGAGCAAATATTTTTGACTTGGATACTGTATTTGACACCAACTCCACAGCTCTGACTGAAAGATTCAATCTAAAATGTTGATTATTCATCCTTTTCTTTAAAACAATATTCCTGTAAGCTGATCAATGATAGAATGCTGTTTTAAAAAAATGTTTTATCATAAAGAGTTGTGTTCCTTTTTCTTTTTAAAAAGTTGCTTTTTTTAAAGTTGTTTTTTATTAACCTAATAGTTACATTATTGTCGGGACAAAGTGGGAACATTTCTTAATGCAAGACTGTTTATCTGGCATTGGGTTGTCTAATCTAACTATGGGGAATTTTTAACATTAAGTTGATTGGGTAAAAATAGGCATCTTTTATAACTTGTCATTGGTGGAGGTGATCTCTCAAAAGGATTCTAAGTAAACTCAGTGACAGTCCACAGAGGGGCCAAGGCCTACTGTGCCCGTCTCAGTTTTCTCGCCCTTGTACTCTGGGGTGCAGGAGCAGATGTTCCGGTTGGGTGGTCAGTCAAACGCAGAATCCCCAGTGCTTAGTTCCAAAGCATGTTCGGTACTCATTTTATCCATCCACTGAAGGGATAAAAAGCTGAGTCAACCTTGCCTGGCCCGAGGGTTGAACCCAGAACTTGTGGCACGAGAGCGCGACGTGCTACCACTCAGCCACACTAGGCGTCCTCAAAAGGGTTCTGTTTCTAATTTTATGAACAAAAAATGGAGAATTTCCCACAAGAATAACAAAAAGGCATTGATGATGACCAAGTAACTTTAAGAGTGATATTCTCATTGACTCCAAATAATATCATAAAAGCAGCATTATTCAGAATGTAAATAACTGGGAATCTGGATTTAATTTAGTTAAATTTAGTTTCAAGTTTCTTTTAATTTTAAGTTCAACTTCTTTAAAAATATAGCAGTAGAGAAAAGAAAGAGTGAAATAAAACTTCAAAAATGTTATTTATAATAAAAATAAATGAAGACAATGAGAAAAAATGTACTAGGACATACAAGCTGATTGTGGGTAATATTTTAACCAAGTTCCATAAGAAATTTTTGTTAGTTACAATACAAATAATTGTGTATGTTATTCCTTAGACCTGTAGCAAATCACTCTAGAACTAATATCTTTTTGCACGATACTTTTAATAATTTCAGCTATGCATGATACAAATTAAGTAACAGAGTTAAAGTGCTTATAAAAAAAAGTATATGAATCAAACAAAATTGTATATAATTTTTTAAATTGAATATGCATTATTATTTTCCTTATTCTAATATTATGGATGATATTCTCGCATCTTGTAGGAGAAAATATGTACTTATTATTTCCTTTTTTGCTTTTTGTAAATCATCACCACATTAAAAAAAAATTAAAAATCATGAAATCCGTGGCAGTAACTACGCCAAAAAATCTCAAGAATCAGACTCTTCAAAAAGGGGTTGCTAAATGTGTGTTTCATTTTAAAATTCATTTGTAATAAAAATAATATCAGATTTTAAAAACTATGTGGAAATTAATACAAATAACTGCAAAAAAAATCGTCTGAGTCATTACTTTAAAAATTAAATATTCAAATACGCAATTCAAATTTTCCATATTCTCAGAAATATATCAGGATATTTAAAAAACACGTCAAAATCAATATCAATAACTTTTGAGAATATGTCAGTTATTATCGATTTTTTTTATTCTCAAATGAAAATAGAGAAAACTCGAGAATTTCCAATGCGAAAGAAAAGCTATTTTTGAATATAATTCTGGAGGAAAAAAAAAGTCTTCCCACAGTTTCTGCAGTAAAGAAAACCAAAATTTCATATTTCACGATACCTGCCAACATTGAAGAAATAAAATAACGGAGATTTTACTAGCGACATTTTTTAGGCTAAGAATAAAGTTTTGATACATCATGCATAATCATCTAAGTCAAAAAGAGAAATTCAAAATTGGAAATAATGTAAGCACTTATATTTAGCAAGGTAAAAAATATGTATACAAATCTTAGTTTAATTTTTTTTAAACCATTATTTTTAATTCCTAAAATTATTTTATTTAATAACAGTCCTTGAACAGTCGGCCCAATTTTTTGGGTTTACAACTACTAATGTTTAACTCTGCAGCCTTGTAATCTCGAACAATATCCAGAAGACAAAAGAACTCCTGGATCAAGTATTGGGAGAAATTTGCCTTTGTGGATGGCTTTTTGATGGAACTAACCCGTATTTGCGTTACACGAAAACCTCCCACGGTTAGCCTGACAGTGAGGAGCCTCTAACCCACGATCAGTCTACAACTGAGAATATTTTTACTTAAACTATTAACACTCAACCTACTGCAGTATTGGCAATAGTACAATCTGTTAAGGAATTAGAGAAGTATTTTTGCTATCAGTGGATATTTATAGGCAATTTTTTAACTTTTTTAAATTTCTTCAACAAATATGGAGAAATTGTAGAACTTACGGGTAAAAAGGAGATAGTCGTAAAATGCAGGAGTTTTCGTTTAAAAACAGGAGACTTGGCAGGTATGTTTCACGATTCTTAATTTTTCATTATTTTCAAATGAGAATAGAAGAATCACAAGCATTTCTTTCCTTTCTGATGTGCGAGAGTGGCATCTTTTGAATTTAATTTTGGAAGGAAAAAAATCTTTCAAAAATTACAGCAGAAAAGAAAAACAAAATTTTTTACATCACAAAGAAAAAATCTTTCTGCACAAACTATGTAATGTTCAGTGTCAATGTCACCGTGATTCCACCATGGAGTTCCATATCACCATACCAAAATTAATCAGTTGTAATTAATAGCATTTGTCATTTTCAGTAATTTGGATTTAATAGTAGTTTAACTGAAAATTATAATATGAAAGCAATTAATAGTTTTAATTAACATTTTAATTTTATAACAATACATTAAACATATAAAAAAAGGAAAATTTAAATTATTACTTACCTATACCAAGAATAGATATGCTTCTCAATAACAAGATTCAAAATCTGCAAAATAATAATAATAATAAAAAATAAGGGAATTCTAGATCACAAAGATGAAGTTAACATTATTCAAGAGTAGAGAAAACAGTGCTAGTCTGATAAATTGAATTTTCCATTTTATTAATAGCATACAATTATTCAATCAAAATAGGAATTAATGCTTAAATTAAATTAATTTCTTTAATTAAAGTAGCCTCAGCAAATAAAGAGGAAAATGCATCTTAATTTTTAGAATTTCAAAAAAATTATTATGAATAGTAAACAGTTTGGAAACTAATTTCATTAAAACAAATCAATGCACTGCCAGTTTAGTAAATGTTATACAAGTATAATAATAATAATACAATGTAATAACAGAATATAATTACACCAGTATGATAATAAATAATACAAGGAAATAGAAATACTACAAACAAAACACATTCCCAAATATATCTAAAATAGAGTTTCTGTAATCTTTGTATTTTTTTAAATATTATTTAGAGAGATTATTAAAAATAAATATTAAAACATAAATGCTTTGGTGAATCACAAAAAATACAGCCTTAAAACCGAGTTTGCATGCTATTTTTTTAAAAAAAGAAACTTTATGAAAACTAATTAAAAATGTTGCTATCTAGGGAATAATTAGGAAATACTAACTTCTTCAAAAGCATTATCAACTTCTTTTGGTACTTTTAAGTTCATCCAAGGCTTAGCTGTATACACATTCAATTCAGGGCGATGCCTTTTACATTCTATGATTCCACATCTTGAGCAAACTGTACGAAGTTTAGCACTTTCTCCACTCTTCAAAAGAAAAATTTCAATTGAATTTTTCAAGCAATTAGTGTTATGAATTTTACCAGGCAAAATTTCTTTCTTTTAAGATATTGAAAAAAAAAATACAAAGAAATTGAATGAAACAAAAAATGACAAATGCTTTGCAATAAGTACTAGAAGAAGAGTTTAAAGTTATACAAACTAAATTTAATATAGCACAGTAGGGAACTGATTATCTGGAACGATCGGGACCATCGCTATTCGGGATAACTGATTTTTCTGGTTTTCTGAATCGCTACAAAAAGCCATTCTTTTTTATTGTTAAACCCAACTAAAAAAAAAAATATTTGGAAATAATCTTAAAAAGAAGAAAAAACGATGATGTAATACATTAATGATTATTTCCAAAATGATGGTAAGGTAAACATCTTTCAAAAAAGAAAGAAAAATCCTAAAATCTTATGAGGAAAAAAAAAGAATTTTTTAATAAAAATGGCGGGAAAATGTATCGAATTTTGTTCCGGTTTTTTAGTTTTCCGATTTCTGGATAACGGGTTCTGTACTGTATTTAGAAAGTTGAAAGTTTTTTACACACACATATATCTAAAACAAAATTTCATAATTATTTAAGTTTTATACAGATTTTTATTATTTATATTTAAGATCTGGCTTGAACATTCACACTTAACACATGGATCAATAAGTCCCGAGACTAACAATGAAAACAATATTTTTTTTTGCAAAATTTNGTTTTACCATCCGCACTTGTCCTTACGTTTGCGTCATTTCAAAACTTTATTGTAAAGCGTATTCGCAAAGGCACGGCTTCGTATTTGTGTTATGTAGTTTAGACTAACACATGGATCAATAAGTCCCGAGACTAACAATGAAAACAACATTTTTTTCCAACGCTTTTCCAATTTTTCAATACCATGTTTATAAAAAAAATTATCTTTCGCTTCAAAATAAGCTTCAGTTTCAGAGATGACCTCCTCATTTGAGCCAAATCTTTTTCCCTGGAGCACTTTTTTAAGATCAGCAAAGAGCCAGTAGTCACTGGGGGCTAAATCTGGCGAGTATGGGGGGGTGGGGAAGCAGATCAAAGCCCAATTCGTTCAATTTTGCTATTGTTTTCATCGACTTGTGGCAGGGTGCATTGTCTTGGTGAAAAAGGATTTTTTTTCTCTGCATGTGCAAACAGTGTGTGTGTGTGTAAATAGCGATAAACAGCTTTCTGAATCATCGACTCGTTGCTGTTTTTGTTCCATTGAAAGCAATCGCGGCACCCACTTGGAAAAAACCTTTTTCATGCTCAATTTTTCATGAAGGATAGTAAATACACTTCCATATGACATCTGCGTCATCTCAGCAATCTCACGGAGCTTCACTTTACGATCTTTCATTATAATTTTTGTCACTTCACTCACATTTTCCACAGGTCTACCCGAGCGTTCCGCGTCATTTGTGTTGGTACGACCACGTTTAAACTCGGCAAACCACCGACAAATCGTTGCTTTTGATGGACAAGAGTCCGGGTAACATTTGTCAATCCATTGTTTCGCTTGCACGGTGTTTTTACCCATTAAAAAACAATGTTTTATCAGAACATGAAACTCTGTTTTTTCCATTTTTTAAACAAACTACAAAACGACTTTACTCCAACCTCGATAACTCAGCTGTTTCTGGTCCGATCGACTTAAAATTTTGACACGTTTCAAGCAAAGGTTAGTACTCTAGAAAGACCTGGTTACTGGTTTACTACGAGCGCCATCTCTGGGTTAGTCTCGGAACTTATTGATCCATGTGTTAATGGCATTTTATTAGAAAAAAGAAATGTAATTGTTTATTCAATAGGTGATTATTATTAGTTTATATGTTTAGTATGCAATTATTTTTTAACTGTATTAACAAAATTTGATAATGATATTTTAACGTTTCTTTATGCCATTATAAAATTGGATTTTGCTCTACTCCATTATGCAGAATATTAAAAGGGAATAAAATTTAAATTTTTTTAAGAAATTTAATGGATTCAATTCTTTTTCAAATTGTTACTCTTTTGTCACAAATGAGAAACTGGTCCAGAACTGGTTGGTCTGCTTACATGAACACACCACTGTGTATTGTTTACTGTTGCCTTCAACTTATATAAAGCTGTTATTTTAAGAACAAAAAGTTAATTCTTATATATCTTATAAAGTTAATTCTTATATATATTAACTGCTTCATATTTGAACTTCAACTTATTATTTCATGTGAAACATCATCTACCAGTTCCCTAAGTAATAATTTGATTTGGAATTATTCTCTATAAACTAAATTTCTTTTTTTAATAGCAGATTTGACATATTCTTCAAGAAAAGAAAACTTTTTTAACAAATATAAATGCAACTAATATTTAAACAAACATCAATTCATTCCTTAAAAGTACGCATTTTTGTATTAACCTGTTTACTAAATTTTTTTAGTTGACAACATGTTAAACTATTTGCAGCTCATCTGAATATAAAAACTGCATAATAGAAAAAAAAAACTATTTTACAAAATTATTTGATATAGAAGTTGAACTTTCAGCAATACACAAGTTGGGAAATAATGCATTAGTATTTGTAGAGTCCTAGATTGATTTTTAAATTACCAAGAAAAAAAAAGTGATATTTTATCTTTTTGATCATATTATTAGCATATTACCAAAATTGGAAAAAAATTATGATTTAAAAAAAAAAATCAATTATCGTTTTTTTTCTCTCCATTTAAAAACTTTTTTTTTTTTTAAAATTTAAGTCAGATTTCTAAATATTATAATTTTTTAATAATTACCAACCACAGCATTTGTTAAAATGCTTTGCTTGATAATACTTAATATTATTTAAAAATATTATAATAGCAAAATCTGATATATATTTTTTTAAACTAAAATGACTAAAATTATAATTCAATTTATACCAACTAATCAATGAATAAAAAAAAGATCATAATTATTTCTGTTCAAGCTCAATATTTTAATGAATATTAAGGAAATAGGAGGAAATTTGTTAATTAGATATCCAATGCAGAATAAATTAGTTAGGATGAGAAAACTTATTATATTGTTTATTTTATAATGTAAACTTTCATGCCACTCTTATCTACTTTAAATCTCTCTTTTTTGTTGGTGTTGTCTATTTTGAAATATAATAATTTACATACATTCACCTCTTTGCTTAAAACCTTCATTATCAACTAAATCAGACTTTAAAAAATCATATCCAAAAGAATACATTTATTAAATATATTGTATAAAAAATACTTTAGACAAATAAAAAAAAATTACATTAAAAAAAAATTATTTATTGCAATTTTAATCATGGTTTAATTCCAGTGATTACTTAGTTAAAATAATATCTAAAGTTAACTCAATGTTTGCTTCTTGGGATTGTCAATAGCATCGAGGAGAATTTGCTTTGTGTGAGAATTTATTATTTTTTTCAAGTTTTTAGTCATAAGAATATTCTTTAACATTCTAATGTTAACCCTGAAGATAATGAAAGAATTATTTTTTTCCCCAAATGTAACTACTTTTTACAATAACTAGAATTTTTTTTCATTATTACAAGCAATAGTTAATTCTTGGTGTTAGTGTATTAAATAATAAATGCTACAGATATTTTCCTAAATCAGTGATGTCAAATTGAACAAGATTAATAAGGGGTAAAAACTGAGTCCATAATTTTTGTTGCAGATTGAATAACTAATATTGACTGAAATATTAAAAATAACATTACATACTGTCATTAATATTATAAGGAAAAATATTTGATTTAGCATTAAAATTTCTTTATTATTTTCATATTCTGTTGTATTTTTATAAACTTTTGTCAATTTGAATTCAATTATTGGAGAATAAAATGCAAGAATTACATGAAAATTAGCAACATTAAAGTCAAATGAATGAGCAATTAAACTAAAGACACGCAGGAAACAAAATTAGATTTCCGCTTCGCAAATAGTTATTGCTGCATTTTACAAAATCCCATAAAGCAAACAGAGTAATTTTTAGGTATTATTTTAGAATTGAAAAGAATAATTAATTCATTCTACTTAAAAGTACATAATATTCCATACATAAATATTCGACTTACTTTTCTTTGGCGCTTAAAAGCAGATATCACATTCGGCAAATGATCTCTCTTTCTGAAAAATTAACAAAACCTCATAAAATGAAATTTTAAATAGCTACAATTAATGATGAATACTTGTTAGAACTGTGTGCCTAAAGATGCATTCATAAAAACTTTAGTCATCTTAACTTAGAAATTATCTCTCAGTTTAAGTTAAGTAGTTAATACTGTCTCCTTAAAGTATACAGGTAGAATTAATACCAGGGGTCTGTCTAGGTTTTTCTGAAAGGTACCTATTTTGTGAAAATTTAGACATAATTTGTGAAAAATTAAAAATTATATTACAAAATCAATACAAAAACATGGTAAAAATATAGATTTATCGTTTCTTAAAGGATAAAAAAATAAAATTTTAAGAAAAAGTATTTTGTGAAACTACCGTTTTTCCTAAAGTTGAATTTGCGAAACTACCGTTTCACCTAAAATTGAATTTGTGAAGGTACCGCTAAACGGTAGTAAATTCGGCCTGGACAGACCCCTGAATACATAAATAGTTTTTTGCTCAAAGGAAAGAAGCCCGCTAATTCCTCAGAGTTTACTTATTTATTTATGCTAATGATGACTTTTGTTTAAAAATAATAACATTCACAATTTTAATAAATGCTATTAAAAATAATAAATACCGATAATTTTTTTAAGAAGAAATTTAGAACAGTCTCCATTGTTAAAGACACAAATGTTCTTGAATAAAAAAAGTATTATCATATCTGGTTATACCTTTGAGACAAAATCAAAATAAACATATTTTTATGCCAACATATTTTGGGAGGGATATAAATGAATTAGCAAAAATATATTTAAAACAATTTCAATTTGTTTGAATTTGACATGAAAACTCAACAAAACCAAATCATAATTTTCAATTTCACTAAAAAGATTATGTGTTTGATTTTTCAAATATAATAAATATGTTAGACGATTGTGAAGCCAAAAGTTTAACAAACATTAATTATATAATAGTAGACTGGAAATTTGAGTCTATTAGTCATAAAAAGAAACTTACAACCAAAGAGATGAGGCATTTTTCATTATTGTTCTTTTACTTACCTAAGAACGAAATGAGTGACAAGACATCCAAAAGTAAAAGTTGAAAATATAACAACACCACTTCTAATTCTGAAAGTTTTTATAACATAATTAATTTTGGTAATAACATAATTAAAACATTACATTGCAAAAAAAAAAGATATATAGATAGATATAAGCAATTTTATCCAAAGAAAAAAAAATTTCAAGAGTAATTTCATTCCTTTATTAATTTTTGAGTAGCAAATTTTAAAATAGAGGGATGAATTTTAAAACAGTGGTTATATTTGTAAATTACTGCCATATTGATCAAAACAGATATTATAACTGACATATAAATTATACAAAATAAATACACTAGAATTATGAATTGTTGTTGTTGCTTATCTTCTAAATTTTACATGTCTCAGAAACGCTCCAAGAACAACGCCGACTGCAAGAAATATTTCGTATAAAAGCTTTATGAAATATACAAGTAAACAAGGCACCTGATTAATATTTTTAGCATTATAACATCTATTGATATTAATAATGAATAGTAATGATAAATTTGAATATTAAATAAGAAACTAGGAGAAAGAGATTTACTTACTTTAAACCTCACTAATTACTTATATTGTTACTATGAATTTAAAGAACAGTTATTTCATCCTATTATTATTATGGCAAGATTTTTTTTAAGGAGTGCGATAAAAAATATGATACTACATGAGAATTCTAGGTATCACCCTTACCCTATAGAAATTTCCCAGCTTTTTTACATTTGCTTCATTGAATAAAACTTTTGCTTTGCATAACATAAATTAAATTTTTGATTGGAGAAAGTAATAATTTTTTGTTGTTGTATTAATCAGATTCTGTTATAGACTAGTAAAACAATATTAATCAAAAAATAAATATTTCATTATAGATAATAAAACTGATGTATAATGTTCATCTTAACAACATACCAGAACCAGGGTTGGGTTTTTGACATCAAAAAGTGGTTTTTGACATGACAAGGGTATAATACTAGTTTAAATCATCAAAAACCTGTCAAAAACTGAAGTTTGCCAAGAAAATATATAAACTTCAAAACTACCAACAGTTGCCATGCATTATATTGAAATTTAATTATACTATAGGTAATCAGCAGGTTTTAAAATATTTTTTAATTAAAATTAAGGTAAAATAACAGATTTAAAATCTCAGAAATTTATATTCAAATGCATGTGCAGAAAAATTTTGCACAAAAATTGTTTAAATATTTATATTTAAAAAAATTTTTTTTTTCTTTTTGATACTTAAGAAAATTAAAAGTTTATTACTATGCATTTTTGACATATAAGGAACATATAACTAATATTTATAAGGAACTTACAAGTTATGTTGTATAAATACAAACTTGATACAAGATACAAGTGTATAAAAAATTTTTTTTAATGTTATACCGAATATCTTTATTATCCAGTATGTTAATTTGAATTTAAAAGTAGTTATATTTATGAATAATGATAAATATAATTCATATTGTTTATTATATTTATTTATAATTATTACACTTATCATTTTAAAACAATTTTTATCTCTTAATTTTTTTTTCTCCACTTGTATTAAGAATACAAATAATGCATATCTTGAAAGCAAGAAGTAATTATTCAACAGCTGAATATTTAGATATTCAACAAAACTATATAGTATTCAGCAAAATGAAATTCACAAGTATTTGGATAAACTAAATTTTCAGCATAGTAAATGAATAGGCTGAATATACTGTAAATCGACACTAACTACTCTGTGTATTTAACAGAAAGCACTTAAATTTGTATTGTCTTATGTTAAAAAGATTATTAAGAAGATTTAAAAGAATATTAAAAAGATTTTTCTTTAAAAGATGTCTAATGTACAAAACTGCTAATGTTTATCTTTAAAAATGTCTAATTTTTAGTATAATCTATACTATACACTAAATTTGGTTATAAATAAATTTCTTAATAATATCACTGCAGATTTTCAATAACACATGAAAATGAATACATAATATTACAAAAGATGTGAGCTTTCAAAAGTACAAGATTTTGGTTACTATTCAAAATATAAGTGTTTCTTCAAAATTTTAAATTTATTTTTTCTAGAACATATCTAGAAAAACTATCCTTTATGAAATATATATAAATCTTATGTATTAATTAAATTTCACATATGAATATAGGTTTTTGACATTTTCGACAGTGGTTTCGAGGTTTTTGATGTGACGGTTTAAACCGTCACATGTCAAAAACTTGCCAACCCTGACCAAAACCAGAAAAAAAAATGCCAACATTTTGATAATTTTAAAAATAATTGTAATATTTGTTTCAAGTTTAGATCAGGCACATTAGTCCTAACGGTGTTATAATTACATCATAAAACGTGGGAAATTTTTCTTTCACTTGTTAAGGATGAAATATAAATAAAATTTTTAGTTGAACTGTCATAAAGTTCAATGGAATCAAACAAAAGGAAGATTTATAATCGGTACCTGAAACAAAATAATCGCCATGTTTTGATGACTTCTGGGCAATCCCATGTGAGAAACTTAAAAAAAGAGGTCAAACTGAAAGAATATAACTTACATCCCCTCTCTGCCAGAGCAAACTACTACATAGCTTTTAGAAAATGTTTACAAGTTTAAAATCTCTTTGGCGAAAGTTATCACATAAAGCAGGCTGCCTGTTTTATGTGATAACTTTCGCCAGAAATGTCCCCGAAATGGGAATATTAAATTTGGGAGATAATAAAGAAAAATGAGACACCAGATGTGCTTATTTCTGCACGAATTGTATACAGCATAATATTAATAATTAATTGTATTTTAATTTTCATGATCAAACTAAATTTTTACGAAACGTTGTTGCTTCCAAATAAACATAATTGAAACAATGCTTTAGTGTCCAAATCTGTTAGATTCCGCTATCTCCCAAATAACAAAAACACATATAAAAAGTAATAAAATAAGAAAAGATTAAGAATAAAATATGCAATAGACATTCTTACTCAACAAATGAACTGAAGAACAATGATATTGAAAAAATAATACACAAAACCGTGGCAAAACATTTATCATTAATAATTCTTTTTAGCAAAGACACTTCATTTCTCTCCATTGTAACTTAACAAAATGTTAGTTTCAGTCATAACAACTCCATGTTTGAAATATATGCACTTAATTTAACACAATGACTCGAAAATGTTTAAATTGACAGTCAAATTTTTGTTTGTAATTAGTAAAAACCAGAACAAGTCATCCTTTTTTTTTAAAACATAGGTTGTTTCTGTTTCTTTCGCTTCTGGTTGTCTATTTTTGTAGACTTGAAAACCCATATTATTGATTAAATAATTACAATTAAAAAGTAGTGAGCTGTAAGTTAGCAATAAGGAATTAATAATTTCTTCTGGATTCTTGAGTCAAGCAGAAGTAAGCAGTCGGAAGTGCTTACAAAATTGAATTGTAATCGGTTCCTGTGACTGTTGTTCACGCTGAGGGAAGGTCATTTGAAATATTTAATTAAAATTTAAGCCTCATCTTATCATAATGGTAATGAATATAATTAAAAATTTTGGACGGCTACCTGCTGAATACAACGTTAGAAAACATGGACCGTATGATCCTTCTGTTTTTTACGGAAAGAGTTAGTTATTTTATATGTTCTCATAATTTTTTTGTTTAGTTAATGTTTTGTATTTCTTAACACCTACCTTATTTTTCTTTCAAAGATGTGTTTTCACTTTATTTCATATTAAAGACTGTTAAAATTCTACATTAGCATTAAATCATTAGTAATTTTCCTACTATTAAACATGGCGTCTTTACTATGAAAATTTTAAATTTGCAAGGAAGATACCAAAATTAAAGTAGAGTCCAGTCCTTTTATTAATTGATATTCTCTACATTTCTTATTTCCGTCTTCATTTCTTTGATGTAAAATTTTTATTTTCAGTCGCTAATTTTCGTACTATAAATTTTTTAGAGCTTCAAGGGGTGACTGTTTGCACAATTTTGCTTCATAAGTAAACCAATTATTTGCTTTAAAATTGATTGTACTGTAAAATATGGTTTTTCTGTATCGTGATCTGTCGCGACAATACAATCGCCATAGCACCAAATATATTTTAAACTAGGTTTTTATGAAAAAACTTGTTTGACTCTTTCAATTAATCCCCTTTTGAGATTTTTTTTACAGTTTTTTGCAGGCTTCTGCCTGGAAGCTGCCAAGAATGCTGCTATCGAAATGGCAAATTAGCTTGAAACATTAAAATATTAGTTTCAAAAACAGGATATTTAAAGATAAACTTAGTCAAATTGTATAAAAAATGTGTCAAAACAGTTAGGTACATATAAAAAACTAGTGGGATGTTTATATGTATATATATATATATATATAGTCTCCATAAACTTAAATTTTTTTTCTTTATCTTCCTATTTTCCACACAAAAATTCTGTATCTATTAAAAACTGTTTAATTTTATGTAATGACTCAAGAAACAGTTTTATATTTTGGGAATTCTTAAAGTGGCCACTTGTAAAATTTCCTTTATTAACCTTATTATATTTTAAAGATGAACAGTAGAAAAAAATTTGTTTTGGGAAATTTAGTAATTTTGTATCTTAATTGTTTGTGCCTAAGTAATTATCACATACTTAAACATGGTGCATAGTGTTTTTAAAAAGTGCTTAAAGGTGATTATTTTCGATTTCCGTTTTTTAAAAGCCTGCTGCTTTTTTCATGGGGTGTTTTCAAAGTGCCTAATTTTCCCTTTTCTAAAATGAGATATTTTTTTTTTACAATGTCAATTTTTGCCACATATTATTGTAAAACGTGGTTTTCACATTGTTCTATTCAATGTTTTCACAATTCGTTCAACCACAATCCATTTCAGTGTACCGTCCGTCTTTCCATAGCGTATGAAAACGTCAATCATTTTACAGGCATGATGAAATACTTGCGAGTCCGTATGTGAGCTAGGCTCGGTGAGATTATTGTACTCTCATGTGCAACTCAGCTGCATTTTGCAAGATATTCCCAATTTCAAGCTTCATTTTCCACCCTCTGATATCAAACCGAAAAATCTTTCGATCTATTTTATAATGGCTAATATAATTGAGAAAAGAGTTCCTTGTTAAAAACTAGTTATTTTATCATGATCATGTAAAGTTTTCGAAAATCATTTTGCATTTTGTTAATATATATGGTGCTTAAAATATTTTTTTGGTGCTTAAAAAGTACTGAAAAGGTGCTTATTTTTTGTTGAAAGATTTGGCTATACACCCTGTTAAAACATGCAGTAAACCAATGAGCACTGCTCTGCTTGTCCATGACCACTATAATGTGATTCAGATGGTCATTAATAATCAGTGGTTTCTCGGGCTAGCAATAATTCTAAAATGATGGTATGTTATGGTTGGAGTTTTTGTAACAAAGTAGCATATTTCATCATAATTGTGAACATTATACATTCTCTACATTGAATTTTTTATTTAATCTTACTTAATTAACTTTATATAAATATAAGTTTGCATTAGAGACATGTTAACAGATTAGTGAAAATTTGTATGGACTAGTGACATATTTTACTTATTTTATAGTTGCTTATTCTTCGGATTAATGACTAAATTTTTCTTAATATCTATTCCTGTCCATAAAGATTATATTTTAGTTTTTGGATTAAAAATTATTTAAGATGATATAAAAAATGTGTTTCAGAGGATACTCCTTTTGGTGAAGTGAAACTTGGTGAACTAGGATCATGGGTAGGGAGGAGACAAAAAAACCCTGCTGCAATCATGAGAGCTGTAGGCAGAGGTATTCAACTTGACATTTTTTATGTAATTTAATGACTGAAAATTGCACTGATGATATTGAAGATATTGTTTGAAAAGATGTTGGCTAGATAAATTTTAAACACTAATATGAAATGTCACAGGCTGTTTGAAATCCTGTTTCTTATATTGTTTTATAAATCAAAAGCTAGATACAATATATAAAATAGTATTGAAAAATAATTTAAAATGTTTTAGGTAGAATGAAATAAAACTAGAATAATTTAGAATTTTTCTCCAACATTGCAAATTACTGTAGAAGTATGCAAAAGTTAAGCAAAGAAAGGGCACCAGGTGTAATATAAAATTTTTATATCCATTATAACTTTTTTTTCTTCAGATTTTGATGTAATGCGTACTAATATGTTATTAATTTTAACTATTTTGTTATTAAGTATATGTTTTATTTTTAATTATTTTGTTATTAATTTAATTTTCAGGATAATATTTTGCTTAGTTATTTAAAAAAAAAGAAAGTTTTATGCTACTTAATAATAAGAAAATGATTGCATCAAGTAATATAGTGTATTGGTGAAGAAATAATAGAAAACATATATATATATTTCATTTGAGAGATGTTTTATTCAAACCCTGTGTCAGTCAGAATTGTTTTTATTTTTCCTCCTCTTGTCTGATATTTGTTGGTTTTCTTAATTAATTTTTAAGATGCACAGTAAGCATAGGGCTGTAAAATTAAAAATATTACTTATGATTTTGCTGGCAAAGAAGTAAAAAATTAAGTATGTCCAGCATTAAAATACAAATATAGAGCAATCCCATGCCATGTATATTTTATTTATTTGCTTATAAAATTAATACTAAGTTTAAATTGTTGAATTATTAACAAAATTATATTTTTTCTAAAAATTAAATATTGGTAAAATATCATTACTGCCTCTTGTTATGGGTAGTTTTTGGGAATTTCTCCCACATCATTCAGGGCATCTATATTCAAGCTCTATGGCAAAATTGCCCATGAGCAGTGGCGCAACACAGATGGTCAGAGACAAGCTAAGGAGCTGAATCGTGGCTGTCCCAGTGTATGTCAAAAAGAGCTTAAGCTAAATGGGAACAGTTTGAGAAAGATCATTGGTCTTCTCACTGGACACTGTATCCACAGGAGACACTTAAACGTAATGGGTATTGAATCTGATCCTCTTTGTAGAGGTTGTCATCTTGAAGAGATTTCACAACATTTACTATGGGATCTATTCTGCTCTAAGATTTGAGCATTTAGGGCAACACTGCATAAGAAATTGCAAGATGTTCATGTAAGGTGTCTGCTGAATTTTATTTCAACCATAAGACTTTCTTGCTAATCATGATTTAGGGTTTGGGTACAATAGACCTCTGGTCGATGTGCCCCGCTCTTTAGAGCTAACCATCTTCTAAATCTAATCTATGGGTAGTTTACCTCCTATTCTAATTTTTTAAAGAAAAAATTGGTGCTGGCTGATAATGGTACGCAGAATTATTTATGTTTGCATGTTTAATTCTGTAAATAATTTTTTAGTTTAAAAATTCATAGTTTAAATTTTTTTTTAATAAATATCACTTTGTTAAAAGAATTTTCAACTGATGGAATAAACATTACAGTTTGCTTCTTTAAATTTCAATGTATTGGTTAGTGATTTTAGATAGTGCATGCTTTTTTAAAAAAAAATGAATATTTCCATTATGTGTTTGAAGTTAATTATACAGGGATGAAAAACTTCCTCGAAAAAGCGGAAATCCGTTTTTTCCTCCCAATTTTTAAAATTTCCGACCCTGTTCCAAAAACTTAAATTTTTGGGGAGTACAATAAGAGAAACCCAAGCCGTTGAATGATAGTCGGACTTGGAATGAACTTTTACCCCTTGCTATAGCCTCCTGAGAAAATGATCTTCTGAAGAAAATGGGTGAAGCTCCAGCAGGTACGCCGTTGTCTTGACCTCTGTGATTTCCGCTATAGAGCGGAAAGAAGTTCTAAGCAGTTTCAATACGGCCACAGATATTTGATTTCTTTTGTTTGGCTGATTTTCGGAATTTTACATATTAGGAAGTACGCCGGAATCTGCTGAAATCGCGATTCTTATTCAGACGATTTTAATATAAATAATCGATTTTCGTATTTAGATGAAACTAAAAGTTACGTATTGCAATTCGTTTGTGACGCAATTAAAAAATCGCTCTTCGCGATATTTATTCGCGATATTTAATTCGCGATATTTAAAAATCCAGTACTGTGATTCGTATTCCTGCGAGTTTAATTCCAATGTCGCGATTCGTATTCATGGATTTTTAAAATTCAATATTGTGATACATTATCACGCGGTTGTAATATCATGCATTGATTTTCGTATTTATACGCGATTTAAAAACTAATTGCGATTCAAATTTACGTGTTCTGAAAATTATGTGTCGTGACTCTTATTTAGGCGATTTATAAATTCAATATCGCAATTTGTATTTTCGTGTTTTTAAAATCCAATATCGTGATTCATATTCACGCGATTTTGAAATCCAACATAGCGATTCATAGACACCCGATTTTAAAATCCAAGATTTCGATTCATGTTTACGCAATTTTAAAATAAAATATCGCAATTCATGTTGACGCGATTTTAAAATAAAATAATGAGATTCATGTTCACACGATTTTAAAATCCAATATCGCGATTCATGTTCACGCGATTTTAAAATTAAATATCTCGATCCATATTCACGCAATTTTAAAATCCCATATCACTATTCTTGAAAGAAGTAAGTTTTTTCTTGAATGAGTTACTAAAAAGATGTGATATTCTTCATTAGTAAATAATTTAATTAAAACTGTTAACTCAAAAAAATTATGTTAAATTTGAAATGTTTATGGTTTATAAAATATATGGCTATTTTGATTTTTTATGTTTTTGAGTCATAATTACATCTGATTGGCTTATCAGGCTTTGTGTTCCTATTTTTGTTTTTAACAAGTTGGCACCTATGAGTAAGGTGAATGTATTTTAACGGTGGTAGTCAAGTTGAAAGGCGAACAAAGTGCGTTCAATCGATTCTACTGACAGAAATAAATTTAAGTTTGATTGGTTCATTAAAACAGTAAAAGGGACTAAAACTGTTAGTAACAATCTATCAATCAATCAGAAGATATTAGGGTTAAAGTTGGCAACTGTTTTAATTTAAAATTATTGACCGGTGATTAATTTAAAATGATAATCAAAGCGCGAATTTCTATAATTGCTTAATTTTCTTTAATATAATAGTGGTCAAAATTTTATAATTATATTTAAGAAAAATTAAAATTTCACTGTCTAAATGCTTCTACCACTTCAAATATTAAATAAAAATCTCTCGGCAGAGTTAAAAGTTGCTTTTATATATCTCATCGATATCACACTATTATAATTATATCACTCCCTCATCGTGACTGAGTTATAAAAGTTCAGCTTTTTTTATTTTGGACCACTTTCATGCCTGATTATATTTCTGAAAATGATTGACATTTTAACAGCTCTTTACATAGTTTTGAAAATTAAGTTCCTCTGTGCTTCCTCTTATTAATAAGAAAATTTTCTATTTTTCTAAGAAATGCATAAATTTTTTTCCCTTCAATTGTTACTTTTTAGATTTCACTTATTTAAAAATAATGTAGAAAAGCTTGGGAATTAATAATATTTCATTGTATTGTAGTTATAGCTGCGATATAATGTAATACTATTTATAATTTTAATTTCCCAACTATACCATACAATACATCATTTTGAAACATGTAAATTTAAATGGTAAGTAAATTTGAATAAGTAGGTTTAAATATTGTAGTAATAAAATATTAAAAGAATTTAAGTCTCAAATTTTTTTTTTAAGTGTCTTCTAAACGTTGTCAAAAGGTTGAAAAGAAGCGTATTTCTTCTTGGACATTTTTGTTGGAGAAACTTGCCATTTGTGGATAATATAAAGAAAATCAATCTAATCAAAATAAGTTATAAAAATTAAAAAGTCTGTGCTACAGAAATTAAAAAACTAAGACTCCACTTTAAAAAAATTTTCCTCTTTTCTACTTTTAAATTTTTGCCAAACATTTTTATCAACCAGAAAAAAAACATGTTAAATGAATCTATTTTTTCAAAGTAAAGGGATAAAAGGTTTAGTTAAAATCAAAAGTGGTTTCTATATGTATTGAACTTTAAACACTTTTGCACTTTTGTTATTTTTAGTTTTTTTAAAAATTTTGTTCTCTTTCTTCCAGACAAAATGCCAACCCTGATTAAAATAGGTTTAGGTAGTTTAAGTTCACTAGGAAGAAATAATAATTTTAATTTTTTCACAGCTTGGTGGCGTTGGCAGTTCAAATATCTCCAGCCAAGGAATGCAAAATTGGTTCCTCTCATTCAATGTGTTGTTGGAATAATGGCACTCTTTTATGTCATTAATTATGAACATCTCAGTAAGTAACGTTTCAAGGTTTTGAATTTTGTTTTGACATTTTTGTGACATTATATCTGGCTAAAAGTATCTGAACATGCAGAGTGGTATAGACCAAACAGATTTCTGATGCAGGGGGTCCACCGTAAGTAATTCACCGCCTTTCCAAATGATATAAAATTGTTAATTAGACGAAAAAAATTGTCTTGTTGAAAGTATTGGCGAGCGATTTTTTTCTACCAAAAAGAAAAATATATATTTCCCTCAGTCTTGAAAATTACGTTAAAAGGAATTTTTTTAAGCAAATACTATATTTTGTATTCAATTAGTTATTTTCATTCAATGCTTCGCATAACCTATTAGGATTATATTAAGTTCAAATAATGTAAGCAGGAAGACAGATTATGTAACAATGAAATAAACTACTGTATAATACCTATTAATATGTTTGTTGCCAGATCACGTGACAAAATTCTGTTCTACAGTTTGTGTCAACAAAATAGATTTTGTGGTTGCAGGATGCATAGATTATCATCCAACTATTTTTGCAGAAAATATGTTTTCTCATGACAATAACCTATTATAAAATTTGGAATCAAAAATGTTTGCTAAAATAAGAAAATTCAACTTTGATTTTCATCGTAGATATAGTATAGTATAACTGGCAATGAAGATGCTAATCCCCTGTAAAAATTGGGTTTCCAATAAAACAGAATTAAATAACTTATTTGAATAACTTATCGTCTTCATATCTTTTACTTATTTAATTTTTTTAATGATTATGATTGCAACAGTAAAAAGTTAATGAGACAGTAATAATTCTTTTATTAAATATTTTTAATATAATTATTTTATTAAAATTAATTTATTTAAAAGATAGTCGGGATCGACAAAAACATCATGGGATCTACAAAAACATCAAATGATGCTTCAGGTTTATGCTTATATTACTGCTTTAATCCAAAAAGTTATTAAAAATTAAACCTAACCTATTTTTTTTTCTTTTCTTTTCTTAATGGCGATTAAAGCATTAAATTTTTCCTCCTTTCTCCCATTGTTTGCTCATTTTCTCTTTCCCATCTGTTAAAATAACTTCTTAATTTGAATTTTATAAAATAATTGAATTTATTGTAAATTTCTATTTTAATTTGACGTTTACCATAAGAAATTTTTTTTAAGATTTGTCTTTAGCTAAGACTTGAAATTTGTCTAATTTAATGGCTAATATTTGAAGTCCTTTGTGCAAAATCTGCTGAGGCCCCCTTTTGCATTTATGCGAGACTGCACACGCCTGAGGTGACTCTCCGACAGTTTTTGACTGGTTGCTATTGAAATTGACTTCGTGGTATTCATCGTAACTAAAGTGGTGGGGTATTAGGCTGGCTTTATAAACTGCATTCTAATTTATCATAAGGTTGTTCTGTGAAATCCAGGGCTGATTGTGCTTCGGAAAAAATCCGTATTTCCGGATTTTTCGCTAACAGTGATCCAGAAGTTTCCGAAGATCGAAGGTTCAGACATTTAAAAAAATCATTGATCACAAAAGTTTCCGGAAATCAAATTTTCAAAGGTGGAACTTAAAAACACAGTTTACTTTATTTGTTTGTAAGGGAGAGCCTGATACTTTATAAGCTTATATTCAAGATTAATATTCATTTTTTATCAGTAAGTAGTTATTATAATAAATTCAAGAAAGAAAGACCTATTTGTAAATTTCAATTACTTCTCCAGGTCATCATAGGTATGTGTAAAATTTTAAATATATTTTAAGTAAACTAAGAAATATTGAGAAAAAAGAAAAAAACCTTGTTTAAATTTTTTGCAATTTAATTTTTTTTTTTTTTTTACTTGAGAAATTTTCCGGAATTTTGACTTGAGTTCACAATCACCCCTGGAAATCAGAGCTTTGAGAAGGACAGTCCAGTTTTCCATTTGATCAACAAAAAAAGGGGGGGGGGAGAAACAAGTTTCAAAGTGTGAATGGAGTACTTATCTTGCTGGAAGAGAGGGCTAAAATATTTCTATAGAGTTGAAAAGGCAACATTGTTCAGAATGTCCGCATCTCAGAGTTTGCATTTTAAACTAGTGATGGGACCGAATAGTGATGGGGCCAAATACCAAATTTTTGGCCGAATACTTTCTTTTTAAAAATTTCTCTTTTGATTGTAATTTTGTAATTAAAGTAAATTTTAAATTAAAAATGAAATAAATATTAACAAAATTGCTTTTTTAATCTTTGTATATTTAAAAATTTTTTAACAACTTGATTTATTTTTTGTGATAATTTAAATATCTTGATGCCAATAACAAGGCAATATGGCTTTTATAAATCTAAATAATTAATAATAGCATATTTTAGTTATAGTTATACTTGTAATTTATGTACCATTTTATTTAAAATAAGAACTCATTACTGCTGTTAAATGTATTCTTAACTTTCTCTTTTGTCAGAAAAATTATTAAAACCCAGAAAATTAAGAAATTTTTTAAAAAGTTTCACTTTTCAAATTTTAATTTTGTAATTAAATATTTTTCAAATTTTAAATTGAAAATGAAATAAATATTAAAAAATGTGCTTTTTTAAACTTTCTATATTTTAAAAAAAATTTAACAACTTGATGTATTTTTTGTAATATTTTAAATATCTTGATGCCAACAATAAGGCTTTCACAAATCTAAATAATTAATAATAGCAGCATAATTAATAANTTATTTAAAATAAGAACTTTATAATATAAATTTTAATTGCTGATTCAGATAGTATTTACACTTCTATTTAACAAACTATATATATTTGTATTTTAATGTAAAAGATTCCAATGCTTGTTTAAATACATATGATGATAAATTTGCAACAAGAAAATGTTTTTATTTATGTAACATTATTAAATACACTTATGTTTTATACAACTTAAATTGAGTAAATGTAACATTTTCTAATAATTAATGCATTGAAATGTAACTCTGCAATATACATGATTAACTATATTTAAAAGCACATTTAAAAAAAATCTTTCTTTATTATTATGAATTTATTCAGCCAAATATCTAATAATATTCATATTCCGCCGAATAACTTCAGTATTCGGCTAGGCCGAATATCTGGCAAAAGGGCCGAATGCCGAATATTCGTTACATCCCTATTTTAAACCTCAGAAACCTAGGTCAAACTAGTGATGTAACGAATAGTGATGGGGCCGAATACCGAATATTCGGCCAAATTTTAGGCCGAATACTTTTTTAAAATTTCTCTTTTGATTGTAATTTTGTAGCTAAAGTAATTTTCAAATTTTAAATTAAGAATGAAATAAATATTAAAAAAATTGCCTTTTTAATCTTTGTATGTTTAAAAAAATTTTAACAACTTGATTTATTTTTTGTAATAATTGATGCCAATAACAAGACAATATGGCTTTTATAAATCTAAATAATTAATAATAGCATATTTTACTTATAGTTATACTTGTAATTTACATGCTATTTTATTTAAACGCATGCGCATGAGACGTAAAGTGTTAGTCAGAAAGTGTGTCTCATGCGAACCGCTTGTTGGACAACTTGACATGTTTGGTTGTGTACGCTGTCTCCCACTAACTGCTATTTTATTCTTTCTATGTCAAAATGTGTTAGAAGATTTACTCAACATGGATAATATAAATGTATTCTTAAGGAAATATCTTAATTAATAACACAGTTAAAGTGCAGAACAAACTAACCATAAATAAAATGAGAAAACTTATCTTCTTCACCCCAACCCCAATAGTGGTTGGGAGGAGAGGTGGGTACAAACCTGTTTCAAGAATCTCTGCAGTTGTTCTCCTAAATGTTGTTTTCTCCTTAATACATGGAGACTGCAGCTGACCTTGGGGGACTGGTTTACATTATGGCTATGGAAGCTAGACTTCTTCCCTGTGTATATTCTTTGGTTTATGGAATAAATATTGTATTTTTTGTGAATTTCTAATTTATATTTATTAATGCTAATTTTTTTATTTGCTCGTCCATTTATTAGTTATTGCAGTAATCTCTGAAATCTGCACAGCTTAGGACAAGAGAATGTGCAGATTTAGGATTATTTATTTGGTTACAATTTTTCATTTTGCAATAGTGTGTTAAATTCTTTTGTTAGCAAAATTTTTTAAATTTGAATTGGTAGATGTTTGTTAAGGTAAATTCTGAAATCTTTGTGGATTAATTTTAGAAAGTACTGTAATATTAAGTCATCATCAGAGTTGGCCAGACAGTCCAATGTGGGCCAATGCTTTTCGCGGAAGATTTCCCCATAATGACTTCCAATTTATCTTTGATCTCCAGTTCTTTTCACTAATTGCAGGAAAATCAGACTTCACAGAATCACTCTGTCTCAACAGCTGCCTTCCCCGATTTCTTGTTCCAGTGGGTCTAAAACGCAATATCTTCTTTATTTTGTTATCATCACTCATTCGAATCACGTGGGCCCTCCAATTCATTCTATTTGTTTTTACGTTTTTAATAATATTAGGCTTATAAATCTTGTACAGTTCAAAGTGAAATCGCCTTCTCTAGTTATTGTTTTCACCAAGTCTACTCCGCAAAATCTTTCTCTCAAGTATTGCTATACAATTAATAAATAATTATAAATCATTTTAATAATATTATTAAACGTTTAAACAGGAATAATGAATTACTTTATTTTAAAGAGAAAAAAAAGACTTACATGTTTTATAAATTAAGCACTTACATATAAGTAAAATTTTAAGTGAATTTTTTTACCAAATATTTTGCTAAGTTTGAAAGGCAAATCATTCTAATTTGTTTATTTAATTTTGCTACAGAAATCTTAAGAAATTTAATTTTGCATAGAAAATGATCAACCTGTGTTGATTGCTTTTGTGCAAAAATTGTTCAAAAAGCATCACAAAGGATGATATGGTTCGTAGCTGTTTTAAAAAGACTAGGCTAATAAATATAAACTTAAGATTTTAAATAAGGCTGTGAAAAGAATGGTTGAAGGTTTGTCAAAAAAAAGAAGAAAAAAGGTTGGTGTAGATATTGTTTTAGGGATTAAGATTATGCTAGCATTTGGTAAACCCTGAGTGGTGTTTACTTTTGATAGTATGTGTAGGTCTTAAAGTTTATTTGATACAAACAGGATAACTCTTTTCTAAATAATTAATATGCAATGAGCTTTACTTAAAACTTCACCTGAATAACAATGATTATCATAGTTTTGTGTACTAAACATTAATTGTAATTGTTAAATGTTTAGCTGCTGTAGCTTTAAAATATGCTTATTTAAAAACTATTCCTTAAAAAAGTTCCGAATTTGGCTATTTCTTATTTAAAAGCTTTTCTTCTAACTTCAGTTAATGATTGAATTAATTTAAAAAATCAGGCTCAAAATGGTACTTCCTTCTATATACAGGGATGAGATTTTTCCGCTTTTTAGCGGATTTCCGCTTTTTTCACTTTTATCACTTGAATTTCAGCTTTTTTGTCAAAAATTCAGATTTTTCTAAAAATTTCATTTTTTTTTATAAGTATTCCGCTTTTTCAGAAAATTTACCGATTTTCAAAGAGAAACAGAAAATTCAAACTGCATAGCTACCAAACCTTTCTCATTTTTACTTATTTTAGCTGTTTTCTCTCCGTTTACTCACAGCAAATAAGATTTTCGGAATTTTTTACCCGCCCGAGGTAAAAAGCTGTACGAGAGCTGTAAAAAGCTTACCCTTTTAAATGTTATCATTTAATTTCCACCATTAATAAATAACAGAAATGTAAGAATTAATGTAGTAGCATTTGAAAAAAACTAAATTGTTAGGTATACACAAAATATATAATCTGTTATTTAACCATTATTAGTTTGAATAATTCTTGAGGAAAATTCTTGTTTTTCAATATTTATTTGATCAATATCATTTTGGTTTCAAAATTTGTATCTAGTACAATTAAATTTTGTATTATTCCGTTTCAGGGGCAGTAGAAACCTTTTACCTCAGTACCTATTATATTAAGGGCCCATATGAGTTACCCTTTTAGATGCCTATTACCATTAATAATTATAACTGGCATCATAAATTGCTTGTACATTTTTTAGGGCCTCAAAAACAGTACATTGCTTTCCATTTTTTCTTTTATATATCTTTGTTTAAGATTTTGCAATTTTGGAAAGTTTTTATGCTAATCAGATTTTTTTTCTTCTTTTTGTTGAATGAACGTAATATGCTAGTTAAAGGTAGAAAAAATATTTTTACGAACGAAAAAAGTTGTTACTTGTATAATTGTAAAATATTCCTTTGAACTACTTATGTTTTCAAAGCCTATAGATTTAAGTGAACTCTATTGTTCAATACTTTGTTTAAGATAAGTATAGGTCTTCATTATATGAAATATTATGTTTGAAAAAACATGTTTTAATTGTTGTGCAATAATTATTTTTGACTATGTGCAAGATTTTATGATTTTATTGTTATATTTTCTAAGGCAGTAATTCTTTTCTTACAGAATACCATTGTCATTACAAGTACCACTGGTAGAAAAGAAGCTTTGTCGTGGAGTTATATAATATTTCCTAATTAGTTTAAATTACTTCTGCATAATAATAAAGATCTTTGATTATTGAATGCCTGCATATTTATTTCCTGTTCTCTTGGGACCATAAAATTTTAGTATTAAGCAAGTTTAAGATTTTAGACAGGACATCTGGAATTGTGTGTCTGAAGGAAAAATTCTCGAACAATGTATTTAAGTTTCCAAATCCTATAACTCTGATAATAGTTAACTCTCCTAAAACTCTAAATGTACTTTTGGCGAACATAAAAATATCTAACATTATTTTTTACAGGTGGTGAACTTGCAAAGGGAAGAAAGTCACTGTTTTCCCTATCATTTCTTATGTCTTGGTTGTTTTTCTTGTGCTGTGATTAAAAAAAAANATAAATTAATATCCATAACTTTCAAAATTAAAAATAAATAAATAAATAGCAACAATTTTGGAAAAACATTAAAGAACATAATATTATTCAATAACAGTTACTTTGAATTTTCCATTTCCTGGAAATGTACTTTTAAATCGTTACTTTTTTTGTTCAGTACTTGTACTTTTACTTCTACTTTATACTCGTTACTTTTTAAAATAAGAACTTTTTACTCGTTACTTTTTTTAAAAATACTTGTACTTTTACTCGTTACTTTTTAAAAGTAACGTTGCCATGTATGGTTATGTACTATTGAATGAGAGGACCAATTGAACTTGATTACTGATTAATCTTCCTTTGTTTAAATTGAAGAGTCAAACAATATTAATAACACATTATACTTTTAAGAACAAATATTCTCTGGTATATTTAATTACCAATATGTTATTAGTTCTATGTTTATTTTACCTCTTAAATTTTGTTCAGATAAAATTGTGACATAATTTGAGTAAAAGGGGTTTTGGACAGGACGGTTTAAACCGTGGATTAATCCACTCTGTCCTAAACCTTGCCAACCCTGAATGATCGGAGCTTCACGTTTCAGGACTCAATCTTACTGGTTTGGGGAGGTGACTTGAAATATGCTTATTTATTACTGCAGACAAAATTTTGAGTTACGTAATCAGACACAAAAACTTACTTTCTCTGAATAAATATGCTATTTTTCCACTGATTCGGATTTCTGACCAACAAAATATAGGCTTAGCCGACAATTTAGGGTCCCAATAGTTTCGCCAGACACTCCAAAGTTTAGACCCCATGCCTTAATGTTAATTTTACTTTTAGCGTATTTCGTTACATCTCAAAATTTTTTTAGGTGAATTGAAACATTTGCACATAAATTTAAAAAATTCTTTTACTCAAAGATAATTCCTCGCAAAAAATAAACGTTAATAAATATTTGTAATTATTTTATTTAATAATGGTCTAAAAAATGCTGAATTGTTAGCCATGCAATTTTTTGTTTTATTTTCAAGAATATTATTTTGCATGGCAAAATACTGAATTAGGGCGAAATCGGTTGACTAGTTCCTGACAAATTGAATTAAAAAAAGTCAGATATTTAAAGTTCGATTTATCAGGAACTATTTGACCAATTATGCTAAAAATTTGTATTTTGTCTTGTAAAATTACATTCTTTGAAATGTTAAAAAAAATTTAAATACTTTACAATTCAACACTTTTTTGAATAAGATAAAAATATTCACTCAAAGTTACTTTTTGAATGGACATACGAATTTTTTTAATTGTGTGCAAAAATTTTTCAACTTGCTTAAATAGTTCTCGAGATTTAGCGAAATACGCAAAAAGTTAAATTAACGTTAAGTGGTCTAAACTATGGGGACCACATTTCCCAGATTGCGGCGACCTCCTATATTTTTGAGATCAGAAATCCGAATCCATAAAAAAAAAGTATGTTTGTTTATTCAGAGAAAGTACGTTTTATGTCTGATTTTGTAACCATATATCGTCTGCACTTATTAATTAGTATATTTGGTCACCCATTCGAGCCATTAAGAATGAGTCATAGAACGTGAAGATCCCGTCATTAGATCAAAAGTTATTCAGGGTGTTCTGTTTTTGTGCACTGTAGATATATTATTCAAATTGATGAAATATTTCTTAATTTACAAACTAAAATAAAGATGCTTTTTTATTTACCTAACTTAAAATTTTAACTGTCAAATACAGAACATTACATAGGAAATGAGATTAATTACCGGAATAAATTTGTAACATTAATTTTAAACTGTTAAATTTTAAAAAGCAAACAAATATGCCTTCATTTTTACTAGGCATACATTAAAAATTATTTCTGAAAAATATCTGTGCATATGTAATTGGAAAAATTAATATTATTCATCTCTAAATTAAAATTTATTTTGTTGTATGTATTATTTTTAAACATCCCTTAATAGTTTTCAACTCAAAAAGGGTTTTGGGTTTTATTGTTACCAATTCAGTGTAATTATGTTTAACATAACAAAATCGAAAAACTTTCTATATTCTTGCATTCACGCTATGTTAGAATCAAACATCGAGATTTGTATTCGCGCGATTTTAAAATCAAACATCGAGATTTATATTCACACAATTTTGAGATGAAATGTCGAGATTCATATTCACACAATTTAAATAAATAAAATAAAATCGCGTATTTATTAAAACGTTAACATTTTGTGGATAAATGTTCCCATACACTTTCTTTTTCTTGCTCAAATTTCAAGTATTTTTTCAATTATTTAAAAAGTGTTTTAACGCAAAAAATTTTTAGATTTCTATTTTCAGCTTTTTTTTTTTTTTTTTTAAACAAAACTCATCCCTGTGGTGGTATGAATCAATATAGAGTTCTAATAAAGATTGAACATTTAAAAAAAAAAAAGAATCAGTGATTTTCAAAATTTGGTTCGCAAAAATGAGGTGTTGACGGAAGGATTGAAACTAGTAATTACATGTGTTAATCAATGCGTTCGGAAAGCTTTTTTAGTTGAGATTTTGTGTTCACTTATTTTTTTTTCATTTTATCTAACTCTGGAGGAAGCTGTACAGCTGGAGAAACCTTTGCTACGAAACTTTTTTTACCTCTTGTTAAGCCAAGGCAAAGAATATTCGCCAAAAATTCGACTTCTGCCACACAAGTTTATAGGGCGGCTCTATTCAATCATCAACAGATCGTAATTTAGATCTGAACTAGCTATCCATCTCCAATTCAGTACCCCCAGAAGCATAATTTGTTATGAGAACATGGAGGACTTTGTGACCTGACAGATTTAGCGTGCATCATTCACCATTTAGTACATGGGGAGTCTTCGACCTAAAGGGAGCTGAACTATGTTCTCACGAACATGAGTTCAGCGCCCTGTCAACCAGGCTATTCCGGCCGACACTCTTACCTACATTAGTAAATTAAAGTATCGGAAAAGGTGAACTCAAGTAAACTTAGACTGAACTATAATGTTTTAAATGTTGAAGCCTTTTTTTTTCAAAATGTAAGCAAACTATGGCACGATTACTTAAGATTTCTTTGTGTCTAAGTAATTCCAGTAGTCAAAGTTGTCCTTAAATTCTCTCTCTAAAAAAAAGAAAGAGGAAAGTGTCCTTAAATGTCTTTAATTATTAAACATTTTAATAAATATCCTGAATTTTTTTTTGATTTTCCTCATTTTTGTTGTAGTTAACAGGAAGAATAAAAATTATTTATCTAAAAAAAGAATTGAAGAAATTTAAAAATTATGTTATATGTCATGAAACAAAGTGAATAGCAAAATGAATGACGCAGTCTTCATAGCGCGTCAAGTACTATATTAATCTATTTTCAGCGTTAGAGACAATTAATTACCCTTGATTTGATGGCACAAAAGCATTCGATGTGGGAGCTCTCATCTCTATTTCATACTCTACTGTTTTTCAATTACTGTTAATCCTCGTATTCTGCTACTACTTAACGATTTTTCAGATTAAGACAATTTCTTCCCTTTTTTGTAAAAAAAAAAAGAAGGCAAAAAATACATTTTTGCGTAATTTCAAAAGAAAAAAAATCAATTTTCTTAAAACTATTACCAATTATATAACTGCGAACCCATGTTAGCATTGTTCATATTAGAGAATCAGCATCTTCAAATTGTCCTTAAATTTGGAGGCAATATTGTCCCTAATTTTCATATTTTGGACTTCCAACCCTGTAATTAACGTAATTTGTTTGCATTTTGACTTCTAAAAAATTTTGCGGGATGTTAAACTTCAGGTTTACTCTGGGAGCTCACTTTTTCCATAATAGAAATATTAAGTTATCTACGGAGGTGAAATAATATTCGCCATGTTTGTCTAAAACAGCAAAAATGGTTTTAAAAAAAATACACAATAAAAAGAAGAAGAAGAAAAAAAAATTAAGTGTAAAGGAATATTTCCTTAGCTTGATTTGGATATTCGCTTTTTCTCGAACGTCAACTGACGTAAAGAGAATTGTAACAGATTAATGTCGTAAATGGTGGTAAAGTATTTTGATGACCGAGGCTGAATCTTTTGGGGGTTGATATAATTAAGTCGGATATATAACGTTAATGTTTAATGGAAGATGATGGAAATCTATACTCTTTCATCAAGTTAATTACGTCATGAGAAGAATCTTTGCTTTACTAGAGGGAAATTAACAGCTTTAAAATGATTCGAAGCAGTAAAGAATTTTGGTAAAAGTTCATTTTATAAGAAGGAAATAGATTTGGTTTATGAAGAGTGCTTTTAACTTTTAGTACAACTTTAAAAATCTTATATTGGACATGTAACTATTTTTTAAAGACTATTTTAGTTATTTTTTTAAGGATTATACTGTGGGTGATACGATTTTATTTTGGCCCAATTTTTTCAATCAAAATAGTATATATTTACACGTAGTCGAACCCCACTATGGTGTACGGTCCGCGGACCCAACTATAAATCCACTATAAATGATAGTTCACTATACCCGAAATCTTTGAAAGAGTATATTTTAGCATATAAAAGTAGTATTGTTGGAAATACTGATTGCAGTAGTACATTGCGCAAAATAGAAAAGATATCAACCTGAATAACTTTCGTTCTACTGATCGGATTCTCACGTACTAAGTGCTAATCTTAATGGTTCGTAAGGGGGACTTCAAATATCTGGA